ATTATTATTATATATATATATATATATATGTATATCACAGATTGATAATTTTATTTGTTGAAGATTGGTCTCTTTCGGCCATTTTCGATAATTTTAGACGCAGACCACCAAATGTGTGGTTAAATCAGTACCTATAAACCTGTTTCGGTCGAAACGGCCAAATTTGGCCAATTCATGGAATGATTTTAGTTGCCTTCCCCTTTCAATAGAATAATTGAACGTTGCAAATTTAATGGATATATAAAAGCAAAAAAAGAAAATTAAAAAAAAAAAAAAAAAAAAAAAAAAAAAACGGAGTGTTATAGTGTTTGATATCAAAAAGAAAATTTACGAGTTTTAGATACTGAGCAGTGCGCCTGAATAGTAGTTTGTACATAGAAAATAAGAAAAATTGATGTACATAGCACATAATTTTCATGTATTTATATATCTAACACTTAAAATTTGACATTTATATATGTAATATTTTGGTATCATAACCCTATGCATTACAAGGTGTATTTTACTTTTTAAAAATTGGTAATATAGGTATTTTTATGTGATGTTAAAGATTAAAAGTAGTCGTTTGCATGCAAATATCAAAATGTAGTTGATAATATGCAAAATATATAAGAATTTGTGGCATGCATGCATATTAATTCTCCTAAAAATCACTTAATTCTTCTGTATTTACATTCTAACACCTGAACTTTAAAAAATGAAAATAATGATGATGTGTTCCGAAAGATTTAGGTGGCATAGGTGTTAAAACCTAAAATTTAGGTGTGAGACACATAAATAAATAAGATATACGTGATATACATGTAAATATCCATCACTAGAATTAATATTTACATGAGGTGCTTGTGTGGAGGAAATATAATGTGTGCTTTATATATGCACCTAAATTCATATGCAGGTAAGGGACGTACGTATAAAATATGCTTTGAGAGGATATATGTGTGGTGGAGAGGCGATAGGTCTATGCACTCTTACTGTACATGTGGATCTATATGCATAATTCGCATAGATATTTCTCAGGAGTGAGATATGATGGATACGGGTGCAATAGGTACTTAATGAATTTAGGATATCGCATCACGTGGTTGAAAAAGTTAGGACGGATATATGAGAAATACAAAATTATGATTTGGAATTATGACACTCTATGGCTATTTTCCAAAAAAAACAAGAAAACAACTCTTCAGTGGTGTTTGGCTTTAGGAAGGATTTAGCACTAGTAGTATTTAGTATTTATTGAATTTATTTCTTTGCTGTAATTATTGAATCCGGATTTAATATGAATTAAAGGAGAAATTCGGACCTGAAATTTAAAATTTCATAAATCCATAGAACTTGCGTTTTTTTTTTTTATGAAATTAGTAAATCTGACTAATAAATCCTGTTAATATGGCGCTACCAAATGCCCCCCTAAGACTTAGTATAGTTATAATAGTTTGGAGTTGAATAAATGTGTGATTAACTAGTTAGAAAATGTAATTTACTATGTCAAAGTTAATAAAATTTATTGTTATTGCGTGATGGAAAATTTATGGCAGTAGAGTGATAAACTAGTGTCTTTAACGTTGCATGAAGATCCAGTACCCACACATATAAGAGAAGTGCAGCAAGAGGAGACATCAAAAATTTTTACGTGAAAAAAACTATGAAAGGGAAAAATCCACCAGGTCTAGCACAATCAAAATAATCCACTATAAGTGTGTAAGTACAAAGATATATGTTAATATGGCGCTACCAAATGCCCCCCTAAGACTTTGACTATAATTTAGTACATTAGTACAAAGATATACCCTTTTGTTACAATTGAGAGAGTTTGACTATAATTTTACACCATATTATTTCTTGTCCGTATGCGATGTATAGAAAACTTCATGAGGCTAAAAAGCAATGTTATATTCTGAATGCAATAGTCGTGAGCGGTGGTTATAAGAAGTTATCCCCACATTCTTAATATGATGTTATATATTACGGTCGTATTTCATATATGATATAATCAAGCAGAGGTTGTCGATAGCGGTGAGCAAAAGCCGCCGACGGTGGTCAACATCAGGTGATGGGTTGTGATCGACGTTCGTCGGTGGCTACAGATGCCAAAAGTTATCATTGGGTTTTCAATACGACGTTGCATGTTACAACTGTATTTGAGATACGTTGTTAACAAGCAGAGGTCGCCAACAACAATAAGTAGGGGGGGTCAACAGTAGTTGATGACAGTCAAAGTGAAGTTGTTGATAGTGGTCGGTGGTTACAGAGGTCGAAAGTTATCATATGTTCTTCAGTCCAGAAGAAGCTATAGATTTCCTTCTCTTCTCCTCCCCCCTTCAAGTAAGAGAGGGTTTTATTACAGCTTCTAAAGTAGGGCGTTTTGAATTTTTGTTGAATAACTTCTTCAAATACCTGATCGAACGACCCATATTGATACCCCTTATTCATAGGGAATTTTAACGATTTTAGAGATTTAATGATCTCAAAATTAAGTGAACTTGACACTACAGAAGAAAAAAAAATATTAGTGTTCGATATTTCCGTCAAAATTTTTCGATGCAAATATTAGTGTTGGATTTGCAAGCTCTAAGCCGTGAATAATAAATTTTAATAATTGCATCAAATTTTACGTTAGGGTGATATAGATAGGGATGTTATCAGTTGAATTAATGTTGGCTAGTTAAAGTTGAGGAGTGCATCGGGTCTTGTTCAATGTGATGGTGATATATATGGGTTTGTTATTAATAGAATACAAGTTGGTTACTTGCAGTTGGTTGGTTGAGCAAGTAATGTCGACTTCTTGCTGTAAGTATTGTACTGACCCATTAAACTACATTTATGTTGTAGATGGATATATGTACTTTGAGAGCTTGGATGTATAACATATTATATCTAAGACAGAAAAGACTCACGGATGAGTTCTTGAATGACGTTGATGAATTCGTACTTGTGGCATTTGGATATATGTACTTTGAGAGCTTGGATGTATAACAGATTATATCTAAGACAGAAAAGACTCACAGATGAGTTCTTGTATGACGTTGATGAATTCGTACTTGTGGCATCACAACTGCTCATCTATCGTTCTGAGGGTAAGTTTCGGTGTCCTTGTGCGAAGCATAAAAATCAAGCATGTTTGCCAACCAAAGAAGCTAAGTTGGATCTTTACTGCATGGGATTCTAACTTAATTATTAGTACTGAACTGTGCATGGTGAGCATGAACATGAAGTTCAGTTCGATCAAGGAGGTGCCTCGACAGGTTATGCCCCCCATGCAGAGGAATTTGATTTTAGCACTTATTAAGAAATGGTTCATGATGCTCAGAGAGATTAATTTATTGGGAGCGTTCAACATGAGACAGAAACACCGAAAAAAAATTGCAACAATTATAAGACTATGAGCCTAATCTAAGGGGTCTAGTGTAGACAGATAGATGTATCCCTTTGAGAGGTATGCCTTCTTGATGCAAACATTACAAGTATTTTATTTCACACTAAACAACCACCATATTCAATGAAAAATTTATGTGCTGTAAAATTTTAAATATAATAAAAGAAATGGTTAAGAATAAACGACATCCTGAGGGATCGATCTGCAAAGCATATATGTTATAGGAGAAGATAACTTTTTGCTCATATTATTTTGAGCAAGACTATAAAAGCACATTGCATATTACATGCCTCCACAGCCAGAATTGTCTGTATATCAAATATCTGGTGAGTCATCAGGGAGGCATGACACACAACATCTAAGAGATAGAGAGATTTAGGCAGTTGTATTGTACGTCCTAATAAATTGTGATGAAGTCCAACCATTTATACAATAACATTCAAGGTCCCCAAACTGAATGCATACTGTCAGTTATTATTAAGAATGCTAATTATATACTGAGTAATTCGAAATACAAATAACAATTTTGTGAACATATTATTTATTGATAGTTTGGACATGGAAAATGAGTCTCTGATAAGCAGGACGATCGAAGCAGACTTTCCAACATGGTTCAAATTAGATGTTTGTATAATTAACACTTATGATCACATATGTGTAATATGATTGTTACATTTAAAGTTACACTAATGGTACATCTCTATTAATTATAGGTTCACAATACAACCAACGAAATCACGGATCAAAGATTATAAGATCTTGTCTATGGGCCTAATCGTAGTGTGAGTACATGACAAATATTTAATGTAAATGTTTATACATTCCATACAAGTTCCTGGTGTAAAGGAAAAAAAATACATATAATTGTGGTGTTGCTGTTAAAGGAAATAGACACACAGACAATGAGATTTGCTATTACGACATACTTGACAAAGTCATTCAATTACAATATCTAGGTAATGCCAGCTACATTATATACATGTTCAACTGTCAGTGGAAGTTTGAGGTATGATCATGTAATTTGAATTAGAATTGTAAATTTGATTTAACTTTTTATTTTAACACATGGATTATTTTTTACATTGCAGAGGTCCTTCACCTGGCTCCCAGGGCACCACCATCAAATGCGCTGAATCTTCGAGATTTGGATCAAGCATCGCTTTGCCAACATGTTCATGATAGAACGTTAGAGGGGTGAGCGACTTGGCTAAATTGGTGAGTGGCTCTAGGGTCAGTTAACTACAACTTGGGCCTTTCTTATTAAGAGTGGAGGAAGCAGACGAATCGGGCGATGGAGGGGGCCAGGGGAGTTACGCTTCATATTGGCGAATCATTCCCCCATATTGAGTACTATAGGAGGCATGTAAGATTTTTTTTTATATATTTAAATATTAATTCAATTTTTGGATTAATTATTTAGAGCTAACCATTATTGAGCATCACACATGCCAAAGAGTTTACTCGTGCTCCCTCTATTGCAGATCTGCATGTCTGAACTCATCAACGTTAGGGGACTATGCAGTAGGTCTCGGAGCAATCCTGTCGGGCTGCTCTAAGTTAAAAACCTTAAATTAAAAGTTTATATTGACTCTAACTGCTGAAAGTGTCAATTAAATGCTTGTTTTAATTTTGCAGGAGAAATTCGAGTAGCTCTGGGAGAGGCACTTAGGCACTCGGGCCCAGACTGACGCCAGCAACAGTGGTAGTCAGTCTGTCACTGTGCGGTCTGAGTATGAGCTTTGGACCCAGGCGGAAGAAAGGAAGAAGAAAGGTTTATGGCCTTGGAGTGAAGGGCATAGCCTTCGAGGTCGAGCTCTACTTTGGTCCCGTTCTTAGTTCTCTGAGCTTTTCACAGTCAGACCATGAGGCTCTTGTCAGGCAAGTGGCTGCAAAGAACGAAGAGATTCACCAATTGTGTGAGCAGATGCTACAAAGCCACATAGAGTGAAGGGCTCTATAGCACGCATGACGAAGACCTTAGCAGATAGCAGGGCAAGCAACCAATGACATCCATGCCAGAGGAGGAGGATGGAGATGGTGAGTAGTTTTTCTTATGTTTTTTTTTATTTGTAAACATTATGTTAAAAATTTGTTATGGACTTTTTTGTATTAAGTTTAATATTCTTACTTGGGATAATTTGTGACAGTATCTTTCTTTTATTAATGATACTGTTTAGAGATTTAATCTGTGATATGCCTCTGTTTAATGTGACATATGATCCGAAATGTGTTTTTGTGCAGGTTGTGAAAATGTAATTGATATTTTTTTTTCCAATGTTATATGTTTACATCAGATTTGCATTCATTTTAGAATGCAAAATCCGACACTACATCTACAATAATTTTTTGTTGTTCTAAGATATTTTTCAACGTGAATGAGACGATAATCCGACACTAAGATTTATCGTCGGATATTTTTCAGATGCAAATTTCGAAGCACGTTATGTATAAACAAATGTGAGGCTAATAAGACGCAACAACCAACATAAATTATTTACATCAAAATATTTTAACATAAATTAGACAGAAATAAAATTACCGACCCCCAATTTAATGTCAGAAAAAATCAGATGAAGATCAGACTCAAATCCGACGCTAACCCTTAATTATCGTCGGATTTGCGTCGGATTTGTGTTTGATCTATCTGATGCAAATATGCTAATTTCCTATAGTTTAAGCTCGTTGCATTGCTCTCATTGAGACACTTAATTTGAATATAAATATGTTAAAATTTTAGTTTATTTGGTCATTCAATGAGCGATCTAAAATCTTCAACAGTGCTTTAAAGACTTGATGTGGGATGTATTGGATTCATATCATGAGCTTGTCTTGTCAAGGCGATGAGTAAAGACTTGATGTGGGATGTATTGGATTCATATCAAACAAATTTAGGTATTATGGAGCTTGTCTTGTCAAGGCGATCAATTTGAATATAAACTTATTGAAATCAAAGGTTTAGATGATCTTGAATTTAAATATAAAATATTTCTTGCTAAAAAATGCACAGAGATACGTGTCATAAGAAAAAGATTTCTTGATGATGCTTGATTAGTTGCCCCCATTTTCGGGTAATGTTATTTATTCCATCCAAAAATAAATATTGCAGAAATTTATACTTTGAAGACTTCTAAGTTGTCTTGGGTATCCATAAAAATTATACTTGTCACGGTGGGCGGTGGCCTGGTTGTTGTGATCTGAAGATGATTGTGGTGGCCATACAACATTACTCCAACGGTGGTAGCACCATAGGGCAGTAGGAGAGGTCTAGAGTTGCAGCCATGCATGAATGGTTACGTATGCACATCAGTGCAAGTAAAAGAGTATTATTATATATTAAGGATGAAGTGGGGTCGATAGGTGAGTATGAATGTGATCAAGAACACAATAACATGCGTTGGGGCGAGCGGATGCATGTGCGGGTGTGAAAATTTATTGCCATAGTTTGTGGGATGGGTTCTCTAATACTTAAAAATATGTCAATCATTACAAGACTACCAGACATATTCAACATGCCTTTATTGTGCTTCTCTATTAGGTATTCCTAGCCACACTTAATGGTCATGCTCAAACTTGATTTTATTCCCTCTCCCATGAGACAATTCACGCCTTTAATAAGCTTGTCAATCAAAGGATCACAACCCAAAATAAAATGGCCCTTACATCATAATCAATAATTTCATATGAAATTTGGAAAAAAATATATTCTCTTTTTTTTTTTTTGTAATTTCTATAAATACAAAGCCAATAATATCATCAAAGTATCATTAAATAGGAGTAGTTAACATCCATTCAAATCATATCACCTACTATATAATCAAAAGGCCTATATATAATAATCATGATAAACATTTTGATCTGGTTTATAATCAAGAGTATCATCACCATCATCTTCATGCCTTTTTTTTTTCTTAAACTTTCCTCAGATGGTATGATCCTACAGACAATATGGGTTCTTACATCCTAAAACAATTCAATATTCTAAAAGATGTGTCGAGCATGTAGTTCATACTCAGACACAACTATAGAATTTAGAGTCGAAGGGAAAGTGAAGAAAAGTGATGGATTGCACCAGGGAGTTTGTGATGCAACAAATCTACAAGTTAAAAGAGTAAAAGAGGATGATGATACAAGAAAAAAAAAGGATAAGAGTCCCCTATAACTTATTTTAGATCATGTATCAGAATGCATATGAGATCGTCTAAATAGGTGGTTCTTGACGTGCATCAAATTTTTATACCTTTTATGCTTTAATTCCAGTATATTTCCTTTTTACATACAAAATTTTAAGCTTTGGGAAGGTTGGAATTGAATTTTGAAGGTTACAGGAGGACTAGCATGAAAATCAGATCAAAAAGAGAAAGTTTGGAAAAACCGACCACGACATAGCTGCCTCTGAAATGGCGTGACTACGCCACCTGAGCAGCATGGTCACGCCAAAATCGAGTATGACCACTGCCAAATTGCCGAAGAGACTGTGTTCGAGAGCCCCTTGTTTTAGCCATATTAGTACACAACGTCTCCATGCCTACCAACCTGAGGCCAAGCCTAATTATGCCTACCAACCTGAGGCCAAGCCTAATTATGCCACAGGTCTGGCGTGGCCATGCCACTAAATATTTTTAATTTTAGAAATTTTTTAATGCAGGATTCTAACAAATTTGGGAAGATTTTTGAATTCATTGTTAAGTTAAGTGTCGGGACCTTTTTTACTCATAAAATTTAAGCTGATCTGCTAAGTTATCAAAGACCACCTAAGAAACATGTCTAAATCGTTGTGACTAAGGATATAACATATGCAACAAAAAATGTAGATAGACTACTCCCTTCAGAGGATAAGAAACTTAAAAATAAAAAAAAAGGAAGTAAAAAGTTTCAAAAGAAAAAATGTTCTTTAAATATCTCAAAATAAAAGAAGACTTTAAAATATGTATCATTTAAAAATCTTGGAAGGAAAAAATTTCAAAAGGTAATGATTTCTTCTAAGAACTAGAAAAGAAAGGCTTAAAAGATATAGATTACTAAAACCCTTAGAATAGAAACACTTCAAAGATTAAAAATCTCAAAAAAATTAAATAATTTTGAAAACTCATTTAGAGAAAATCACAAAAAAAAACATGTTTACCAAAAATCTTGAAAGTAAAGTCTAACAAAACACCTTTGCTCTAAAAACTTCAAAAGATAAAAATCTCAAAAGGTATAGATTTTAAGAATATCTTAGAAAGTATAAATCTTGGAAAGCATGTGTATTCTAATTATTTAAAAATCTTAAAAATATAAATCTCAATAGGTTCATAATTCCTTACTCATATTAAAAGAAAATACTAACCTTTATTACAAGTTTCTTTACTTATTTCAAAATCTTACAATACTTAATTTTCAGAAAAAAATAAAGAATTTTTTCCCCAAAATTTTAAGAAGGCAAGATCTTTGTAGTGGTTATTTAAGATTCAATAACTATATGTTAACTTTGTCACATCATTATTTTTAAGTACATTTCATAGAAATATAAAGAGCTTAATCTCTTATGGGCCTAATTTCTCTTAAATTTTGATTACTTCTATAGAAAAATTTTTAGTTCATCAATATCTTCATGGCTAACATCAATGGAGCTTGCATATTTATACTTGAGGAAACAAACACCGATGGGTTGAACAAGTAAGATATCTATTTTCAAAGCCACATACAAAAGTATTTGATCTATATGATGTTAATATACAATTTATCAACATAATTAGAGAATTTTGAAAGTTTCTTACAACTTCTAAACAGCCAAAGTCTAACTTCACCACTCAAGGGGTGATATATTCCATTAAAATTTGTTGTAAAAATATAGCTTCCTTTTCAATTATAATTCAACTCAAATTATTCCAATGAAAGCAATGCAAGGATATCGTTCAACTATATTCTGTCAATCATTGTCACCTAGCCATTATCACTTTACTGTTATCTTATGTCATCGTCATCCAAACTCTTTTTAATTTAAAAGTTCAACTCCTTCAATTTTTAAGAAGAACAAAATTTTGTTAACCTTGTTTATATATTGGATAATTTCAATTGAGCCGTGATATTTTTTTTTTCTTATAAAAAATTTAGTGTCTATTTGTTTTATATGCTTTATTTATTTATTTATCTGTGCAAGGGATTTTCAATTAAAATTAAGACACAAAATAAAGATGTATTTGTTTATCAAATAGTATCAAATGTTCAATAATTTAAATATTTATCTTTATATTATATTTTTTATTTCAGTAATATATATATATGTGTGTGTGTGTGTGTCTATATACATAAAATAATCCTACCTCATGACATTAAATTAAAAAAGAAAATACAAAAAAATAGAAAAACGGTGAGCTCTGGCCTCTATGAGATAGCCAGTTAAACATTTTTCAAAAAATAATGCAAATGGCCATGGTGAATAACCTTACAAAAATGGGTCTGCCCCGTCTCATATAAATTTAAATTATAGAAGAGGCCAAGAAACTAGTGAGCGATGTGGACCGCTGAAGTCAGAATACTATTGGTGAGCATGAGAAATTAGTTGGAGAAAAGTAATCCATTAGCTTGTCGATACTGGCTTAAATTCAGCCTTAACAAATGTGGTTTTGAGAAAACTACACCATAAACTATATTTTAATTATAATTAGTTGTACTGTAATGACTTTTTTAAAATAAATAAACGATTATAGAAATGCATTGTTAATAAGCTTGACGTCATGAAAATTATACGAGGCCAAGAGTGTTTCTTGTCAAGTATTTTTAAGATTTACGTACATATCACTCCTTTTTTATGTATTTACATACCTCATACTTAAATTTCCATTTTTACATGCTGTCATATTTATGCATGAAAATTTTTATTTAATTTTTTAAAATTAAAATACTTTTTCTTTTTTGGTATGTGATGGGAAAGATTTGGGTGATATTGATGTAAAAAATAAAATTGTAATTTTAGATATGTAAATTCATAGGATTTGGGAAGTATTTATCTAAGTGTCCGGTTTCTTAGAGGAAATATTACTTGTGGTATCAACATGTGTGGATTGTTGTCATTATACCACAGTACCTCTAAATCCACA